GTCCAACAGTGCACCGCCCTCCGGGTTGGAGCTTCCTGTTTCAGCTTCTGCCTGTAGGCGGGCAGGAGCAGGATGGAGCAGTGATCTGATTGGCCGATTGGGGCGCGGGGGAGGGCTTTGTACGCATCCCATTTTTGAATAATGATGCAGGTACAGTGTCAAGAGGATGCTTTCACTGAATTCACTAGTTTTACCAGCTCAGGTAGTGAAACAGGAGAGAAAGTATCCAAGATGACGGGCCGAGATGGGGTGGAGATTGAGATAACAGGTGCTGAATGACAAGAAGTTATTCCTATGTTATTAATCTTTGCAAGCAGAAAATAAAGAAAATGTTCAGTCTTCATTAGATGAAATAGGAGCCACAGGTAGAGCAGGAGTAACAATGTCACTAATGGTGTTAAAAAGCACCTTAGGATTACCTCTGCTCTTTGTAACCAAATGTGAGAAATAGGCAGCCCTCGCATCTCTGATAGCATTATTAAAAGAAGCTAAAAGGTCCTTTAGGTAGAGGAGATGAACATTTAGGTGAGTTTTCCTAAATGTACGTGAGAAGTTATCTATGGATAACCAGTGAAGCTGCTGAAGAATTGGGGTAACAGACCTGAGCTGCACAATTTTGAAGAAGTTGAAGTTTATGAAGGGATTTATTAGGGAGACCAAATAAGAGGGAACAACAGTAATCAGTCCAGGAAGTACTAAGACTATGGACGAGGATGGCAGCAGTATGGGGAGGAAGGAAGGGACGGAGTCAGTTAATATTATGTAAGTGGAAGTATGCAAACCGGGGAAGGGTAGGAGAATTTTCAGTGTTAATGGAAAAACTGTGGGATTTGGTTAAGATAGAGGCTGTGCCAACAAGTAAAACCTGTTTTATTACTGTTAGGTTTAGGAAAATGGGAGGAGAACAATGATCTAATCTCAATAAGACAGTTTGAGAGGGAGGTAAGTGGGAGGGATGAATCGGGTTTAGAAGAAATGTAGATCTGGGTGTCATCAGCATAACAATGAAAATTGATATTATATTTTTGGAATATATGACCAAGAGGGAGCATGTAGATGATGAATAAAAGAGGCCCTAATACTGAACCCTGGGGCACACCAGCAGAAACAGGACAGAGACGTGAAGAGTGTGATTTAAATTGGATAAACTGAGTGCGGTCTGAGAGATATGAGGCAAACTAGGCAAGGGGGGTATGACTAATGCTAATGGATGCTAACTGGTTCAGCAGGATATTGTGAGAAATGGTATCAAACGCCGCACTAAGACCAGGAAAAATGAGGATGGATAGGAGATCAGAATCAGCTGCCATCAGAAGGTCATAGGTAATCCTTAACAAAGCAGTTTCTGTGTTATGACTGACGTGGAAACCAGACTGAAATTGTTCATAGAGATTATGGTCATTGAGGTGTAACTGAAGCTGGGGGGGGCAACAACTTTTTCAAGAAATATGATGTACAGGACTCTGCCACTTTTCCCTAACCTTTGACCTCACAAAACATGCTCTTGGGTCAGGTCTTTTTCATGACCTTCTTTGTGGATGTTAATGCTTGTTGTGTTACAGTGAAACTTGCCACAGAGAGGAAGTGATGTCACTGGCCTGTAATAACCAGCGTGAGTACTCTCAGAAATGCAGACATGTTTCAGGCTCAGTGAATTTATGTTTATGTATGAAATGAAACGTGTTTCAGCGTGTGGAGTCCGTCAGGTCACAAATGTCTCAAGGGAGGCAGACCAATCAGAACACAGGACACCTGGTGATGAAGGTGAGAGTATGAATGACCTGAACCCATGATCCTGATCGTGTTTCAGCCTGACTGTAGTCACATTGTTCTAACTGTCAGGTGCTGGCCGAGTGGTGGGCGGGGTTAATGCTGAGGAGGGTGCATGGCCGTGGATAGTGTCTCTTCAGTGGAGGGGACGTCATGCCTGTGGAGCCTCAGTGATTGGCAGTGACTGGCTGCTGACTGCGGCTCACTGCGTTTATGGGTGAGAGGCTCACAGCTGCTGCCTGCATGGGGCGCTAACAAGTGTTAATGTTGATGTTGGACATGAAGACGTAGGTGCACGTCTGTCTCTGCAGGAAGAACGTTGACCTCCAATCATGGTCGGCGGTTCTCGGTCTTCACGCTCAGAATGATCAAACCTCAGAGGCTGTTCAGACCCGACAAGTCGATCGCATCATCTTCAATGAGCAGTACAACAGACGGACCAAACAGGCCGACATCGCCATGATGCATCTGCAGCAGCCAATCAACTTCACCCGTCAGTAACGGCACAAAAACACAGGTATGGGTGGAGGCAGGCTGCAGGGCGCTGATAAATGTGCGTGTGTGTTTCAGAGTGGGTCCAGCCAGTGTGTTTACCACCTGAAGGTCAGAATTTCACAGCAGGAAGAAAATGTTTCATCGCTGGCTGGGGCCGAAACACTGACGGTAACCAAGCACCAGGTTGCACAACCTTTGACCTCCACAGTCTCGTCCTGTACAGGTCCACCTGTTCTCTATCATAAAGTTCATTACCAATGAACTTCTTCATAACACCTGTACAGGGGGAGGATGCTTTTATAACTTGCGTATTTAAATTAAATTAAGGCTTATTATTATGATTACCTTTTTGGGTGGCGCTGTTACTTGGTTTCTCGCTCTCTGCGGTAGAGTATCACTTCCTGTTTCTGTTCCAACCAGTGACTGTATAAAAGTCATTGGTTTTATACAGTCATTGGTTCCAACACACAGTGGTGTTTTTGTGTAGCTTGTCTGTGTAGCAATTTAATTAAAAACTTATAGATAAATTGTTATTTCATAGTATAATCTTCACGTGCTTCATCCGAAGCACACTCTCTGTGTACTCACTCCCTAATTTATAGCCAAAGTATTCACTCACTGTGTCTTTACTAATTCTCTATCTTAGCTTAGCTCGTAGCCGACTCGCTAGCAGCATGGCCTCTTCATCTGTCCCTCCTGCACTTTCCTGCTCATTGTGTCAGTTACACCTCCGCCTCCTTTGGCAGTAATGATACCTGTAACAAATGTAGCATATTTGCAGCTCTGGAGGCCAGGATTACTGAATTGGAGACTCGGCTTCACACCCTTCATTCACCCGTAGCTAGCCCCTGTAGCTGATGCAGCCGAAGGTAGCGTACTGACTCTGGTAATTGGTCATTCTGTTCTCAGACATGTGAAGCTAGAGACACCGGCAACCATAGTCAATCGTCCTCCAGGGGCCAGAGCAGGCGACACTGAGGGAAATTTAAAACTGCTGGCTAAGGGTAAACGTAAATTCAGTAACATTATAATTCTTATAATTCTTTGCTAAAATAATGTAGTTTTGTTATGATACTGGATTGGGATGTGCAATGCTTCCACATCTGCAGCACAAACTCTAAATAAACGCTTTATTCAGGTTAATTGTAAATTCTGTCTCTGCTTGGAAGACAGTATTTTGAATTACATATTCTCCAATATTCTCCCTACAGATAATATTTAATAGGAATGAATGAAACAGAACTGTACTGGTTATTATAACAAGATGTAATTCCGACAATTCAAAATAGATCCAATCAGGATTAGGGAACAATCAAGAGAAATATATTTCCGAAAAAAAAGAAAAAAAAAACAATTGAAAGGTACAAAATACAGAACAAGTTGCAAAGTGCTTGAAAGTAGTGCAAAAGGACATGCCCTAACCACTTAGTGGCCTGAGTGATGAGAGTTACTCAGACCATGGCTCAGATTGGTGGGCAGGTGGGCAGGAGAAGGTGTGGGGAATAGTGTTTGTTAACAGTCCGAATGGCTCAGGGGAAGAAGCTGTTAGTAAGTCAGGAGGGACATGAGCTGATTGACCTGAGGCACCAACCAGCAGGTCAAACAGGTGGTGGGCGGAGTGAAAGGGGTCACCTGTGAACTAAGTGTTATTATAGCAGATAGAGTTTTTCCTTTCCAGTCACCTTTCTCGCTCACTATGTGTTAACAGACCTCTCTGCATTGAATCATATCTGTTATTAACCTCTGTCTCTCTTCCACAGCATGTCTTTATCCTGTCTTCCTTCTCTCACCCCAACCAATCACAGCAGATGCCCGCCCCTCCCTGAGCCTGGTTCTGCCAGAGGTTTCTTCCTGTTAAAAGGGAGTTTTTCCTTCCCATTGTCGCCAAAGTGCTGCTCATAGGCGGTCATATGATTGTTGGGTTTTTCTCTGTATCTATGAAGCACCTTGAGGCGACTTTTGTTGTGATTTGGCGCTATATAAATAAAATTGAATTGAATAAGGAATAGTCTTATAGTATGGTAAAGGCAGGTTGACACAGCAAAATGGTGCTAGCATTAACACAAGCAAAAAGGAGCTGGAGTGGTTTAACCTGCAGCAGCTACGACTGAAGCAATGGATGTTACTGCTGAGCAAGTGATATCATGCTCACCTACAGTCTGTGGATGCCGACTTATAACTAAGTTAGCAGCTGATAAGTTAGCACATATCAAATTCGGTTCTTTGATATTCTTTTACTGACAGAGAAAGACTCCGACTCAGTGTGGTCAAAAATAATTATTATTTTATTCAAGCATTACTTTCTGCTGGACCCTTCAGTGTTTTAGGTCAGTCCTGCTGTCTGTTTGTTGCCTGCTGTTAATTCTTCAAGTTCACGGTGTTGCTCTGTCTGTCTTCAGGAAGAGATTGACCATCCTTTAAGCTTCTTCTCAGGATAAGGACAGGATGAGCAGTGAAGCTGTGAAATTTCAGCCAAAGCCTGGACTGTTTGTCGTCCCAATTAAGTTAAACTATGATTTTGTTCTGGCCGCTGTACTGTTCCACGAGGCTGAGCCAAGTCCATGGGCACCTGTATTAACACACTAAGACATTTATTTAATATTCATTCATTTTTATATAAAAAGAATGCACCCTCAGCCACACACGCAAGTTGAACAGCTTCACACATATATATACTAAGCTCTTTACATTTGCAAGCATTAACCAAGAGAAATCCTTCGCATCAAAGTCCTCAGCATAATTAGCAGAATTCCTTTAGCACAAATCTTCAGCACAATTAACAGTTTGTCAACACACGTCAACATTCTCTTAGCGCAGCTCTGCAGCACAATTCACACAATCCTTTCAGCAGCATTTTAGCACACTTCACTCAACTCATTTAACAAATCTTCTCACACACACACCACACCCTTTTCTATCACACTTTCAAAACAACATGCACTTCTGACCATTCAAATCAAATCAAATCAAATCACTTTT